TGTTTTGTAAACTATTGTTTGAAGTTTGTCAATAAAAGGCAGCGAGAGGAGGCCACCATTTGGGGTTCTTTGTCGTGCTGGACACAGATGAGGCCTCCCTTGTGCAAGTAATGGATCGATCGACTGTCTTGTTTTCTTCATGATGAATAAGTCTCTAGAATTAGCGGGGTTTGTGGAAACACAGACCCAACACCAAGTTTTCTTTTTGTATTTTTAATATATTCAGCTAAAAAATAGAACAAATGATATGTTTTTAACATCTCTAGTAACAGCATCTCTGTTACTAGAGATGCCCAAAGATACCATTTAAATTGCTTTTTTGTTAAGTTGTCTTTTTTTTATCTATACACAACACTGGTTCATCCCTTGAGTGTGGTAATGATAAAAATAAAGACTAGACAGAAAATGAGTAAAAAGACAGTCAAAGTGTTCAAATAAAAATGATCAAAAACCTGGAGGACTATTACTCAACAGCACTTTAAAAAAGTACACAAAATTCTTGCGCTTTGGAAGCAAAATACAACACAGTACTGTATTTGTGTTAAGAGTACGGTGGGTTTAAGCAACCACACGTTTTGTTTTGATGGGGTGAAATAATGATATAGGAAGTAAATTTTCTCAATACTCTAATCTCATTACCCTTTCTTTTCCTTTACATAAAGCCCACTGCACACCCAGTGTCACCAGAAGTAAACAGTCACACCACCAGTGCTGGAGTTGGCTGCAGAAAACATCTGATAATGACTCAGACAGTTTCAATTTATAACACCAGAAGCCCTTTAGAATCAAATAAAGTTGAGCTGAATGAATGATATTCAGTTGCAGACCATACATGAAATTAATGGATACCATGGCCGTCAGGACTTTCTGAATTTCTGTGCCTTTTGGGCAAAAATCAAGGTCAGTCAAGGTAATTGATAGTAGTGTTTCTTATGTTATCTGTGACTTTTAAAACCTACCAGTACATTTTCCAAGTCATTTATTTCAAATTGACCACATTATGTATAATTAGTTCAAGTAATGATATTAGCCTGTCAATTATTTTTGATGAATGTTCAGCATCAGTACAAGCTCAGTATCACCTATCAATACTTGGAACAAATATCAAATGAAGGAAAAGTTTTGTAGTTTCAGTGTGAAATTCGAAGGGCAGCATTAGTGGGTATTATGTGTATCATAATCCGTCATTTGCCAGTTATGAGAATAGTGACAGCAAGTGCAATATTAATCCACTAATATAATATATATATTTATTTCAGTTAACTTTAGAGAACACCAGAACTTGTGGGCTCCTGTCTCTCTTTTATCATTTCTTCATCATGTTTATAGTGCTGGTCTTCATGTCTTGCTGTTTGGTTGTCTTTTGACTGTTTCCTGTTTTATTTTGATATCTGTTTTTCTCATGTTACTTTTTTTTGGTTTTTATTTCCTGTCTTTGTCTTCACACCTATTTGATTTTCTGCCCTGCTTTCTTTTGGAGTTTTGGAATACGCTGTGCACTATATATGCAGCATTATCAGTTACCACCCTTTTTGTTTTGTTATACGGAGTCTGCTTAATCATTTTATTCATCACAACATTAAAAGAAATGTTGCTTATCGTCTTTGTGTTTCTTTCTTTCTGCTTGTGGGCATGTTTTTGTATTGGTATCTCTTACATTTTTGTACCACTCATTTCTCTTTCCTTACCATTAAAGTGCAACTGCATCTTCAGCAAAAGGCTCTTACACTTTAATTATGTTTCAAACATCAGATTGTAATATTACATGTCCCACAGAAAAACCTTTAAAAACAAAATGTATGCAGCATCTAGTTTTTAGCCTAGCATCAACAGCTGTGACCCTTCAGCTGTTGGATTGCTTCATTACAGAATTTTTTACTCTAGAAAATGAGTCCAAGCCACAGGTAATGTACAGGATGGGCCATTTATATGGATACACCGTAATAACATGGGAATGGTTGGTGATATTAAAGTCTTGTTTGTGGCACATTAGTATATGTGAGGGGGCAAACTCCTCAAGATGGGTGGTGACCATGGTGGCCATTTAGAAGTCGGCCATCTTGGATTCAACTTTTGTTTTTTCAATAGGAAGAGGGCCATGTGACACATCAAACTTATTGGTAATGTCGCAAGAAAAACAATGGTGTGCTTGGTTTCAACGTAACATAATAAATAGCCCACCCTGTACTCTCACAGTGTATGCTGCCTGAGGTGGAATCTCTTTCTTATCATCTGAATCATTATGATTTCACATTATGATACACAACATACTTTCAGCTTTAGTATACACGTTCCTGTCTGCAGTGACTGCTCAAGAATTTGATAATGACTGAGTCACATTTTTGACAATCACGTCTGTTTCTGTAGCGTTGCTTGATTTGATTTTTTTCATGCCCTTGTTTTGGTGCCATTCTGTCTGTACTGATCTCCTGTTTATTATTTTCAGCATCAAGGCTGCAGATTGTTTGTATCAACTGTTCCTATAATTACCCTATGTTTAGTCTAAGGAAATAATGACTTAAAATATTTTGATCTTAAGTTTTTGCCCCTTAATACAGCCTCTGCAATGACTGTTTTTCCAGCCTCTGAATACTATAGATGATATCATATGGTGATAAGTATCAGATAATTTTATCCTGCATTTGTCATATCATTACCATTTCATGCATTGGGACACTTAAGTTGATTCTTTAGATATTTGGACCTGCATCTTTTTTTGTTTTCAGTTCTTTAACAAATAATTTTGACTACCTTATAAATTTTGTTTTGCAATCTGAGTAAAACGGCTTAAAGTAAACAGATACATTTTTTTAAACTTTTAATGTCCATATTGTTAAAATCTGAACATTGACCCCACCAGATGAAGCTTTGATACCTTTGTTCTCTCTCTCTGCTGCAAAGGAAATGTAAAACATGTCATTAGTGAAAGCAATAACCATTGATTAAACCTTTACTAAACCCCTTTCTTTCCCCCTCTCTCGACATTAGTCTGTCTTGTGTGCACTGATTTGTGTCTAATTACACAAAATGCATATTTTTCAGTTTGGAGGGATTGGTCAGTCATTTTGCAGTTTAGATACACAGACACCAAAATTTGTGTCATACATGTCAGATCATTTTAACATATCCTTTGTATCATTTTTAATCAAATGCTTAAAAAACAACAACAACAACAACAACAACAAAACGTTTAGGCATTACCAATAACTTGGTTAGAATCTGGCATTAAAAACAAATTAGTTGAGGTTAGTTAGGTTAGAACTAAAAAAAAAAAAGATCTGTTTTTGGATAAAATAATTGTTTTTTTGTTCTTTTTCATACAATTTAATTTAAATTTATATATTAAAAATGCTGATCGTTTTGAAATTCGAGTCATTTCAAGTTATTTCAGACTGCAGCATTTTTTTTGATGATGATGAACTTAAAGTCCGATTGATGCGCATATGTTTTTCTTTTATTACTTTCTGCAGAAAGAGTTATTTCTGGGTTTAAACGGTGTTACGATCCAACACGGTCTTGCAAAATGGAAAAAAACAAAAAAACAAAAAAATATCTCATTAAAAATGGGTTCAATGGGTAAAATACCCATTGAACTGGAAAATTTGCAAAATAGCTCTGATATAAAGACAAGGATAGTAAAAATCTATAGGCTTGCTTTTATTAAGACAATACAAAAGCTAACCATACATGTGTTTTAGGTTCCAGTTTGTGACACTCAATAGCTAACTTAAGACAATCATCCTTAAAGTGTGTCCTAAAAATATGTTGTAATTTTTCTTTTAAAAAAAGGCTGAATAATTGTCTGTAACAGTGGTTCACCATAGTTTCAGCTGTACTCAACAATGTTACTCAATGTAACAATCTGATAAAGATCCAGGGGAGCCGTAACTGGTTTGGCGACACAGACATTTCCTTTTACTGGAATCAATCCATTGTTGGTTTTGTCGTTGTAACAAAACATTTTTTTAAAATGTGAAAAATACAAATGCTCTATCTTCAATCATTAGTGAATAAACATAACAGTCTGTTTAGTCTGAACTTCAGTTTTCTGACTCTCATGTAAGTGTAAAAGATGACAAAATAAAGATTTTTGCCACGTTTTATTTCTTTTCTGGCTTCTCTTCTTAAGAGGGTGTTCTTCCTCCCCACAATCACCAAACTCATAGAGCTTCTCTTAATATTGCAGGGTTATGTTATGAGATGATTGGCATTATAAGGTGAACTGAATAACTATAACACTGAGTCTTTTTATTTTTATCAAATTTTAGAGACATTACATATAATGCATAAATGCTAATAAATAAACTCAATTTCCCCCCTAAATTGAAGTAATTAAGGAAATGTTTATTTGGATAATTATAGACTCTTATTAGCTCTGTGGGTTTACAACTAACAGTTTGGAATTGGCTGCATTTGTTGTAAAGAGGTAAATAATGGTATAAGTCAGAAAAACTGGAAGCGTTTCATATTAGCATTTAAATAATGAAAATGTTCCAACTTTAAGAAATATACATTTTTATTAAAAGGAAGAAACAAAAACAGCTCAAGATACCAGTTGAGATTAAAAATTGGTGAACAAAGCCAAGGTGGTCTGTGAATCTTGAATCTCCAGTCACTGCCAGCAGGTTCCACAAGAAGTTTTTTTTATTGGTCAAAATTGTCTCCCATATGAAAGAATGGGCTTGCTGTGCATTACATCATAAAAGTAGTGTCAATTGTGAATGCAGTGTACATGTCTATGATCACAAATGTCAAATCGGTCAGAATTTGGGCTCCATATTGGTCAGTAGGTCCCTGCTGTTCTGTCATTTTTTTTAGGTTCACTCACCAAACCATTTGCAGCAAATGCTGTCTGTGAGTTACCACGTCCTATTGCTCAGCTCTGGAGCCACACTGGTCAAGGCACACATAAAGTCTTACTGTGAAGCACCTTTGCAGCCCAGCTCAGTATTACAGTCTCTGAATGAGTTCCTAGATTGTTTTGTTCCTTTTTATAAACATTTTATCCTTTTGAAGAAGACTTATTTCAATAAATAACACAAATATAGTCATAGATCATATATAGATAGATAAACATGTATAAACTACATGCATTTTTTATAATTTAAATAATTTATATATACAGTTCTCTCTCACACACTTATTGCCTCCCTCCCCACACCCCCACCCATCCCCTTAAGTGAGTTCCTCAGTGCTGCACCAGCGTTTGGATTTAGAGCAGCACATTAATGTTGAAATATCATTTAAATGGACCTAAGATTCTTCAGTAGAAGCATCACTTTATAGCAGATTTTTGCTGGTCACCGGCATGACACATAATCCTGTGATGGGAAGCACTGTGAGCAGGAAATAAAATCCTATACAGGAAGTAGAATTCCCAACAAGTCTCTTACGTCCTGCGACGTTTCTTTGACAATGCACAGACACAGGAAGTGTTTATGCGTATCCACCTCCAGCTCACTTGATCTTGAAACTGTGTCAGTGCTCGAACATACGACTGCGCCGTCTTGCACTGTGAGTTCCAGTTCTTGTCGTCAATGCCCCTGCAGCCATCCTTGACAGGCTTGGAGGTCCGACAGTGTGTCTCATAAAAGAACTGTCTGATGTCTTTTGTGGCACTGGTTTTAAACTTGGCCAGAACAGTCACGCGCTGTCCCTTGATGTCGTATGCTAACGTTTTATTCATCACCCAGTCGCTCACACTGTCACAAACAGAATATTCCCCCCGGTAGCTCTTGTGCTCAGTGTGACGCTTCTTTCGTGTCTTGTTTCCTGCTGCCCCTAAGACCGGTACACTGCTCACAAAATTATCAGAAAGGTACAATGGCGGTGGCTGCAGTGGAGGCCGGTCGCTCAGTAGCACTCGCGGCGAGTTATAGCGCTTGTGTTGCCTAAGGATGTCCAAGTTCAACAGCATCACCGGCTGATCCATCAGAAAATCATCACTGTGACGCGTTTCTAGCCACTCCTCTGCATCTCCTTTGTCCTCCAAAGGAAAGTTTTCAATCTTGACGGGAGGCAGAGTGTCCCGCGGCTCAGTGTCTCTGCTTTTCCCCTGCTCGCTCTGGTTCCCTCTGGTCTTCCCCCTTGTTAGGTCAGCCTGAAGCAGCTGGATTATGAGAGAGTTTAAAGGGTCTGGACTTGGCTGCTGCTGCTGTTGACTGCTACCCATGTTGGTTGCCTGAATACCATAGAGGTACACGAGGACCATCACATACAGCAGGATGGACATCACTAGATTCACCTGTAAGATCTGCAATGACAGAAAAAGAAGAAGAAGATACTATAAATGAAAGTTCTGTCCTCCTAAAACTCAGGACTTGATTAATTTGAAGTTTTATTCCTTTTCAGAGTGAAAAGATAGTCAAACAGAAATATATCCCACATAGCAAAATTGGTGTGGCCCGGATCTGGCCCACACAATGTGCTTACACATGGCCCACATACCGCAAAGAATGATGGCCCTTTGGTGGCCCAGATCTGGTTTGCCAGAGGTGGCCCACACATGGGCCAGCACAAAGCCAGTTGCAGACACACTGTTGGCCCTGCGCTGGCCCAGAACAGTTTCAGCTCTGGCCCCAGATGTCAGCCTAATGTGTACCTTAAACAAGCCATGTAATAACAACATAATAGTGCAAAAGTAACATAACAAAACTCTGTTCAGACAGTGAATCTCACATAGCACTTTTCTACTCTAGCAGATTACTCAAAGTGCTCTATACAGCATGCCACATTCACCCAATCACACACTTTCTTTAAACTGAGTGCTTCCTAATTACATTCATACAGAGTGGAGGAGCCAGGGATCAAACCACTAGCCTTCTGATCAGTAGGCGACCTGCTCAACCTCCTGAGCTAGAGCCACCCAGTGGTAACCACGAGTAAACCCTCACTAGGTTTTGGATAAAGTGTAAACTCACAAATCTGTCAAACCTGCATTTGAAACATTGGCTAGCATAGCAGTATAGTATTGCAAATTGGCATTTGGGTTTTCTAAATAAAATGGGAAAATAGGAACATAAATATTGCCATCATTGCCAGACCTGGCCCACATCTGGTTGACATACACCCTGCCATGACACCAGTCAGTGAGAAGTGCCAGCTTGATGCCGGATCCAGGCCAGACCTGTTTTCTATGAGCCTGGACCGCATAAATCAAACCACAATCGGGGCAGATTTGGCATGTCATCACATAAACAGTGCCACCTACGCCAGGCCTGGCTCATCTGGATGACATACCACTTACCAAGTCAGCCAACAGTGTCAGCTTGACACCAGATCCGGGCCAGACTTGTCTGCTATAAGGATTATCACTAATGTTTACCTACGTTTAAAACTTGGGTTAGAAATCATAATAAAAGCTTTTCCACAAAGCTTGTCAAGTTATACCCTACAGCTAACGACAACCTCTTTCCTATTTATACAGAGCCAGTTTTGCCATGATGCCTTTTGAAAACCAATTCACACTTTGACAGGTTTAACACCTGAATACTATGTAACACTAGCAAATTGACTGGTTCTTATATAATGCTTTTCTACTCGAGCACTCACGGTGTTTTCTACGATGTCTCATTTTTTCCAAATCTGAGTTCTGCTTTTTAAAATTCACATTATGGTGAACACATTGGCAATAACTAAGGTTTCAGTATGTTGTCCAAGGATACTTTGGCATGTAGATTGGAGCAGTCAAGGATTGAAGCACTGACCTTCTTAACAGATGACCTGCTCTACCTCATGAACCTCAGCCATTAAGAGAAGGACAAAATCTTTAAAAACCACCGCTGGGGGCTATTCCTAGCTCCAAATGGGCAGGGGTTATAAAAGTCTCCATGGACAACATGCACCAAGGGAAAAGGTGTGTAGTTTTCTTTGGGGGAACGTTAGGACTTCAGACTAATGTTAACTAGTTAAAAATGTTTCTGAAAACTTGAACATTTCAACAGTGTAAATAACAGCCAGTGTGCATGTATGTACGTGTCTCTGACTGAGCACATTACGGGAAATAACACGCTGCAGCATGTATAACATGTTTTTTTAGAAGTCCCATAATTGTCCTTTGACATAAAAAATGCCTGTAACATTCATTTGCATAATAAAAACCTCACTCCCATACATGCATTCATGGTTGTGTCCCCAAAAAGTGTCTTTGTCCTTTATAAACACATTAAACTAATGATAACGATCATGTAAAGAAAACATGAAACTATCAGTTGCTTTGCAGAAATGTAGAATAAAATTTGGTTTAGATGTTATTTGGTGGAGAAGCAGTTTTGTAATTGGATGGTTAACATTTTACCAGGAGAGAACACGCTGCTGCTTATTAAACAGTCTTGCATCACTGTCATATACTAATGAGCGATGACTAATTACAGAGATCCTTAAGGTCAAATTGTTTAGCATTATACTTAATTATGGGTTAGGCCTATGTGACAGAGGGCTTGGCTGTAAGAAACAAGTGAACTTAGTCATGATGTTGCCTTTCATTGTCAAATTATAAAAAGACAGAACTCTGTTTTCTGTCATCTCTTGGAGTCTTTCTTTATTAACTACGACTGTGGACTATATATTTTTAAAATTCGTGTGTAAATTTATGCATTTGCACCAAAAGCAGATTTTTCATCACCACATGACTTTCTCTACAAACAAAGCTGAAAGACCCTTACACGTATTAATAAAGTTCCTCATATGAACAGCGCTCTACTACAGCCACAGTCGTTAGCAGTTGGGCAAAATTTAAGCTAACACGTTTCAGCTTTTCATTTCCCCAGCTCTGCTTTGTAAAGTCATGGATCCATCAAACTTAAAAACAACAACAACAAAAAAAAAAACTTTTAAAGAGAGAATTTAAAATTTAACATTTTCCGAAAAGTCATATTTTGGAATGACCATAAATACCAAAGTTGTGTGTAGTGAGTGGCTGAAGAAAGAGCAATTAAACTAACTTGCTGCATGCTCATCAGCTACAGTGTGATTGTGGGAATGCGATTAATATCTTTAAGATTAAGCAAAACTTTGAAGGACATGTCTAGATATTTCTTTATATATGCAAGTGCTGCCGAAAGGACACAAGCATGTTCACTAAGCCATCAGCTAATATTGCAATGTCTTAGAGGGAGAGAAGAAGAGGAAAAGGAAAGAAAAGAGAGTAATTAGCTGACAGGTGGACCCAAACAAAAAGAGTTAACATGTTCCCATCAGCAATATTTTGCCCAGTTCATGTAGCTGTTGGAAGGTGGGGAGGAAGACGCACAGCAATGTCACCTTGTAATCACTGGCTCAGAAAAGACAAGCACGTGGACTGACACACACATTTCTTTGTTCTTACTACATCGCAGTTGTTTGCAGGCCCATTCAAAAGTATCACTGCAATGCTGCTGCAAACTCACACACAGATGACAGTCATGTGGGGACAAAGATGATCATATTTGTTTTTAACAGCAAACACTTTTTATTAGAGCTTCATCACAATATTCCTGTGTCCCCGGAACATATCTGAAATGCTCATTAATGAATTAAGTGGAGTCTTTATTCAAAGAAACCTTTAGCTCTTGCACAGCCTTGAGCTATGGCTCCAAAATAGAACATGTATATTTCTAAGAAGCTGCTCAGCCTTTTCCCATCAGTCTCCCACTTCTTAATGCTGTAGCAAACTGAAACAGCTAAAACGACTATCATTACAAGAAGATTATTATTTCCATCTGTAGTAATTTATGTTAGTGGTATGGCTCTGTTTACAGCAGCATGAAAAGGAGAAGCTGGAGGTGATGTGGGTTGTATGGTGGCTTGCAGATCCAGAGCTTGCAAAGACTCCCCCCCCCAAAGATAACATAATTTAATAACACATCTGGATACTCTATACAGTAATATTTGCTGGCGTCCTTTTTTTTTTAAATGAAACTGTTTATACAAGTCAAAACCACAGCAATTAGGTATTTGACATCACTTCCTTAAAATGCCATTCACTTAACCTTTGAGTTTTTCTTCCACTTTTCATTAGACCAAAACTCTGTGTGACTGGCCTGTAAACACTTGTGCATAAAAAAAATAAAAATTAATGTGAGAAATTAATCTTGCCCCTGCTCTCATAATGACTACCATAAAAGCCCTGACTCTAGTAAATGAGGCTGCTTTAATGAGGTGCTGTCAGTGAGTGACCACTTTTTCAGCTGCTGGACTGATATGGAGACTGTGTGTCTGCTCTGTGCTCCTCTACAGGGAGTGCAGAATTATTAGGCAAGTTGTATTTTTGAGGAATAATTTTATTATTGAACAACAACCATGTTCTCAATGAACCCAAAAAACTCATTAATATCAAAGCTGAATGTTTTTGGAAGTAGTTTTTAGTTTGTTTTTAGTTTTAGCTATTTTAGGGGGATATCTGTGTGTGCAGGTGACTATTACGGTGCATAATTATTAGGCAACTCAACAAAAAACAAATATATACCCATTTCAATTATTTATTTTCACCAGTGAAACCAATATAACATCTCCACATTCACAAATATACATTTCTGACATGCAAAAACAAAACAAAAACAAATCAGCGACCAATATAGCCACCTTTCTTTGCAAGGACACTCAAAAGCCTGCCATCCATGGATTCTGTCAGTGTTTTGATCTGTTCACCATCAACATTGCGTGCAGCAGCAACCACAGCCTCCCAGACACTGTTCAGAGAGGTGTACTGTTTTCCCTCCTTGTAAATCTCACATTTGATGATGGACCACAGGTTCTCAATGGGGTTCAGATCAGGTGAACAAGGAGGCCATGTCATTAGTTTTTCTTCTTTTATACCCTTTCTTGCCAGCCACGCTGTGGAGTACTTGGACGCGTGTGATGGAGCATTGTCCTGCATGAAAATCATGTTTTTCTTGAAGGATGCAGACTTCTTCCTGTACCACTGCTTGAAGAAGGTGTCTTCCAGAAACTGGCAGTAGGACTGGGAGTTGAGCTTGACTCCATCCTCAACCCGAAAAGGCCCCACAAGCTCATCTTTGATGATACCAGCCCAAACCAGTACTCCACCTTGCTGGCGTCTGAGTCGGACTGGAGCTCTCTGCCCTTTACCAATCCAGCCACGGGCCCATCCATCTGGCCCATCAAGACTCACTCTCATTTCATCAGTCCATAAAACCTTAGAAAAATCAGTCTTGAGAGATTTCTTGGCCCAGTCTTGACGTTTCAGCTTGTGTGTCTTGGAACACAATGGAAGTGTTTTGGGGGAAACAGTAACATACCGGACAAGCTGCAGAC